GATTGTAAGGTACATTAGGCTTCCAACCAAGCTTTTGTACACGGTTGAGTTTACAAACTCACCTTCTCCTCCTTTAGATAGCTTTTAATCCAGTTGTAACTGGAATGTTGACAGCATTGCACTTGTCCATATTAAACTTCTCCAATATGTCTCTCATGTACTCTTGTTGAGAGATGTAGATACCATCACTTTCTTGCTTCACCTCTATGCCAAGAAAGTATGACATTAATCCATTGTCAGTCATCTCAAATTCACTGAACATGGATTGCTTGAACTCATGGAACATTGCTTCATTGTTTCCTGTAAACAACAAGTCATCTACATAGAGACAAATAATTAAGAACTCCCATTTTGTACCATTCTTCATGTAAACTGAATGCTCGTATGGACATTTCTGAAATCCATTTTGGTGAAAGTAGTTATCAATCCTTGAGTTCCAAGCTCGTGGTGCTTGCTTGAGGCCATACAAAGCCTTCTTCAAATGATACACCTTTTCTTCTTCTCCTTGTACTTGGAAGCCTTCTGGTTGTTCCACGTACACTTCTTCCTCAAGTACTCCATTAAGGAAGGCTAACTTGACATCTAGTTAATAAATTTTCCATTTATGGTGTGCGGCAAGAGAGATTAGCAATCTTACCATGTCAAGTCTTGCAACTGGAGCATAGACTTCATCATAGTCCACTCCATACTTTTGTTTGTTGCCCTTCGCTACGAGCCTTGATTTGTACCGATCCGCACTCCCATCTACAGTGTGTTTGATCTTATACACCCACTTGACACCAATAGCCTTATGATTTGGTGGGAGCTTTGTCAACTCCCAAGTGTCATTCTTCTCGATGGCATGGATTTCTTCCTCCATGGCTATTCTCCAACGATCTTCTTCCACAGCTTCATTGAATGAGAGAGGCTCGTGGTCTGTATACAAGCAGAAAAGGTTGGTTTCTTCTTCTTCTTCTTGTCCATATATCTCGGTGAGACTTCTTAGCCTCACTAAAGTTGAGGAGCTGCTTTCTTCACTGGATATAGGGTCACTCCTTGCATGTCTGTGCAATGAAGTTGTTGTGATTGTTTGAGCAGGTTGTTGCTCGACTGGTGGTACAACTTTTAGTTCTTCAAAATCAGGGGAGACGATATTCTCTTTACTGACTTCTTTGTTGTTCCACTTCCATGCCTCTTCCTCACTGAAGATGTCATCTCTACTAACCACTAGTTTGCTAGTTAGTGGGTTGTAGAGTTTGTATGCCTTGGACTCTTCACGATAGTTTACAAACACACATTTTTCACATCATCAAGCTTCCTCCTCTTGGCTTCTGGAACTTGAGCATATGCAACACACCCAAAAATTCTTAGGTGTGCAGCATTCGGCTTGTATCCACTCCAAGCCTCTTGTGGTGTCATCTTCTTGACACTTTTTGTTGGACATGGATTCAACAAATAAATCGAACAAGCTACAGCTTCTGCCCACAATTCTTTTAGCCAATTTTTCATTTTAAGCATAGACCTTGTCATGTCAAGAATGGTTCAATTCTTTCTTTCGGCTATCCCATTTTGTTATGGGGTATAGGCAGCAGTCAGTTGATGTCTAATTCCTTACTCCTTGCAATATGCTTGGAAAGCATTGGAGGTGTACTCTCCACCTCTATCTGATCTCACAGCGACAAGCTTGTGGTTACTTTCAACTTCTATGAGTGTCTTAAACTCCTTGAAGACTCTTAGGGCAGCCGACTTCTCCTTGAGAAAATAAACCCAAGTCTTCCTACTAAAATCATCAATGAAGGTAATAAAATACCTATTACCTCCATAGGACATAGGATCCAACAGACCACATATATCCGTGTGCACTACCTGCAGTGGTGCCTTTGCTCTCCATGTATCACCAACAAGGAACGATAGTTGTGCTTGTTTGCCAAGCACACAACCTTCACATACTTGGTGTGTGGCTTCAATCTGGGGTAGACCACGAACCATTTCTCCACTTGACAATAACTTTAGGCCATTGAAATGAAGATGGCCAAACCGAAGATGCCATTTTCATGACTCATCTTCCATCACACCAATGTTGCAGCTTCCAATCTTTATGTTCAACTTCAACGGGAACATACGGTTCTTTGACATTTGAACACGTGAAATAAGCTTTCTCCTTGCATTCTTGAGAGTGAGAAGCATATTCTCCATATGTATAACTTACCCTTTCTGGAACAGTTGACCAATGCTCAGAATGTTGCTCTTCATACCTAGTATGTAGTAGGTATCAGAGATGTATTCTTCTCTACCATCCTTCTGGATGATTTTGATCTTTCCTTTGCCTTCAACTGCAACTTTAAGGAGTCACCAAGACTCACAAATTCATAAGGCCCATCTTTTAGTTCGGTAAAAAACTCTTTCTTTCCACACATGTGGTTGCTTGGACTAGAGTCCAAATACCAAACATCTTGTTGGCTACTGATATCATGGTGTGCTAGTAAGATTGTAAATTCCTCACTAGCATTTCCACTTGATTCTGCCATGTTGACATGCTCAACATTTTTATATGAACATTCATTGGCATAATCCATATTGCTTGCAATTATGACACTGGATATGCGTCTTTCCTCGAGTAGATCTCCACTCTTGAGATTGACCTCGGTTTTGTGCATAGCCTCAACCTCTTCCTCGGCCTCGTCCTCGTCCTCGGCTACGGTTGGATGAGCTTCCACGACGCGAATTCCACTGTCCACAACCTCCATTTGGTTTGTCAATATTCAACTTTGACTCCAAAGCTTGCTCTAGCGTTGTGAGGCTTGCATTATTCTGAATATGTTGTTCATGAACTATAAGGGATCCTAACAATTCCTCTGCACTCATCGTCTCCAAATTCTTGGATTCCTCAATGGCAATCACCACATGCTCAAAGTTAGATGTGAGTGACCGAAGGATTTTCTCCATGACACGAACATCGTCAAGCCTTTTGCCATTCCTTTTCATTTGATTCACAATTACAAGTAGTCGAGAATAGTAATCTGAAATGTTTTCTCCTTCTTTCATATGAGCAACCTCAAAATCTGCTCTTAATGATTGAAGCTGAACCACCAGCAATAGATAATTTTGTAGTAGTGAAACCTTAAATTTATTTAACCGTCGATTGTCATTTACGCTTTATTCTTCTTACTGAATTAATTTTTAAAATTTTATTTTTTGAAAACATGATCATCTGGCGGATGTAAGAAGATGATATCACGTTTCGATATTTACAGTTAACTGAAATATGAGTCAATGTCATATAATTTGTAAAAACTTTATAAACATCAAGCAATATTTTCACTAACCGTAAAACTTTAAAAATAATATCAACAATCCAAACCGTTCATCTACCTGCACCCTCTAATAGATCATGTTTTCAAAAAAGAAAATCTAAAAAAATGAAATTTGATGAGAACAATGAAGCATAAATGTAAACAATAATCAATGGTTAAATTTTGATCTATGATTTATATGATTATAGTGGCGAATTTCGAAGTTAAGCTCTTCATGAAAGTTATAAAGCTTGTCATTACGAGTGTTTATATATTTTTTTCTATATTTTTTTACACTTCTACATTAATTAAAAACTATTAAAGACTTTAGGTAAGCGAAAATATACTTAAAACAAAATTGCGTTTTTATGTTTTGAATGTGATAATATGGAATGTATATACTTATTTAGTATTATGTTTTTCATTTGATTATTTATTGGTTTAAAATATATTTTCCTTAACGGGTAACGGGTCAGGTCATATTACCTGTTAATATTATCGGGTCGATTTCGGGTCGGGTCATTTTACCCATTTATTTTAACGGGTGTTACACAACACGGCCCGTTAAGATATCAGGTATGACACGAAAACGACACGAACACGGAAAACACAACACGAATGTCAGGTCTACTTTTGATGCGCACACACACATGCAGCTTTTCAAAAAATAGTTTCACCACTTTCTGAAAAGTGTTCCAACAATTTCTAAAAAGTGTTTTACTACTTTCAGCTACTGTATTTGATTTGAACTTCCAACAGTTTTCACTTCAATTAAGTATTTTGATCTGGGTATTGTTGTATGCTCTACATATTTTAGAGATTTGTATTTTTCAGCAAATAGTTACAAAAAAAAATTTTTAAATAGAAAATGAAAATGAACAAGAGAAGGAAAAGTACACATTCTCAACTATCTTTGCAAAACAACTAATTACATTTGAGTAATGGGATTTATAATAAAATTGTTTATAACTCTCAAGCGGTTTGAAGTTGTAGCTCATGAATTATGAAAAGCCTCTACCATCAGAAGATGTGATATTTTTCACCATTCAATGAATAATCAATCCAACAGTCAAGACCTACTTCATTGCTGGAATTGTGATAGCACCCATGGGATGACCATATCCAAATTCTAAATGTTGGTGTTAAGCCATCAGGATGGACCCAATGAAGCAACATCATCTCAAGCAAAATCACATGGACTTGCCTATATAACTACTTAGGCATTCAGGCTAAACCTAAAATAAATATCTGAATCCTTTTGGAAGGATAAGTATACACCTAAAAATTCAGAGACAGAAATGCAAGTTTCCGAAACCAGGTTCTAACTTTACTTCTTGTTTTTCATGTCCAAACAGACAAAAGGCGATGTGGCGATATCTCAAGTAGTTTGTGTGAGTGGTCTTGAGGCAATTGAATTGGGATTGGTAAGAGACATTAGCATTTGATCGAAGTTCACATGCGTCTGTCTTCCATTTCATCACCAAGACTCGTAATTGGTAGTGATTGACACTTCATATCTGCCTAACAAACAAAAATATGTGATGGAAAGAGAAATAATAAATTTGATCCACATATTTTACTCAAAGGCTTGATGGGAAGACAAAACCATGTGATCCCTCATGAGCTCTTGTTCCCTTCTATACCCCATCCGGATTGTCTTCACCATATATTTTCTTCAGTAGAGGATATTCTACAAGGCTTGTCAACTATAAATACCATATGAATGCAGTGGTTAATGACCAAATAATAAATCTACAACTTCTCAAGTATAGTTGTTCCACAAACTCCTTTCTTCTTCAAGTTTTTATAAACTCGACTACTAGTCTTTACTATCACGATTTACAACAATGGGATTCCGTCTTCCATCTGTAATTCCTGCCAAGAAACTTCTTCAGCGTTCTCTTTCAAATTCAAGTCAAGGAGCTTCGAATAATTTAGCTGATGTCCCAAAAGGTTATTTTCCAGTTTATGTTGGCGAGAGTGAGAAACAGCGGTTTGTTGTTCCTATATCAATCCTCAACCAGCCTGCATTTCAAGACTTGCTAAGTGCGGCTGAAGAAGAATTCGGATTTGATCACCCAATGGGCGGTCTGACAATTCCCTGCAGACAAGATGCCTTCCTTGATCTTATTTCTAGCTTGAAAGCATTATGAGATTGGATAATGGAGAACAATTACATGAACTCTGTGATTGTCACACAATTTTGTGCAAAGGAATATTTACACATTTTTTTTTCGATTGAGGAGGGAGAATTATTGTCTCCCCAGATCGGATAATGCATGTAAATGGAGATTTTAGCAATATTCATAGCTTCTTTAATATAGAAAAAGAATCCTCATTTACTTAATTCCGTTGGTTCACGTATCCATTATTCTGAGCGTCAAAATGTTTCTTATTTGATCTGACGAATCAACTGATTTAAGGTTCGTCTAAAGGGATTTGTCCTATATGATCATTTGTAAAACAATTCTTCCAAAATTAAGGTTTATATTAATTAGGAGAGAAAAATTTATTAATAATCGGAGTAAGGTTACTTTTAGGAGGGATTTGCCTTTAACTATTATGAATCCTAAGATGCTTGTTGTCAAGAAAGGCACTTTCCATTAAGAGTTAAAAAAAAATAAAAAAAAATAAAAATTTTGTCAATTTTTTTTTTATAAAACTTTATTATTATTATTATTATTATTATTATTATTAATAGGAGTGGGAAGGGTTATTTTAGGGAAGCAAGGGTGGAAAACTGTAAATCCAATATCCTTCCGCTAGGATATTGAACCACATATGAAATTGTCAAGAGAAACAAGGCTAGTTTGGAACTATATTCTTTTTGTTTAGTTTGTGATAAAGAAGGAAAGTGTTAGAGAAACCACATTTTTGTACCATATTTGTATATCATCTTATGTGGCAAGTGATATATGTATATACCTGTTTGGGCCCAAAATAATATTTTGGGCCGAGCCTGGAATTATTCTCGACCCAGTAGTATTCATCTAGAATCATATCATGAGTTGTCCAGTCAAGGTCGGCTGAATCCTGTTGCGAGGAGGATTAGACAAGGATGAGGTAGTCGAACCCTAGTGCAACAAGGAGTCTTAAGGCTGAAGATGCTTAAAATTAGGAGATGAACCTGGATCGTTAAGGAGCTTGGTTCAAAGTCCTATTGGGGTTAGGATTGGCCGAAACCTAATCAGATTGGGTTAAGGAGTTCTAATCCGAGTGCAGTTCTAGTTCGGCCATGAAGGGGGTGCACTGCTATAAATAGAGAAGGGAATGCATCATTCAACCCCCTTCAAATCAACACACAAATTGCCCTGCGCAAAGTTTCTCAACAACCCTAAGAATTTTTCTTCTTCCCTTTTCTTCTCGCCAACACATATTCAGTTTGGATAAACAGCACTATGAAGGCAACCGGTGACATCTTCAGTTTGGATAGACAACACTGAAGCCATAGAACCAACCAACCAAGGAGCACCTTCAGTTTGGATAGACAGCACTGCTTAGAGGCCGACTGGTTATTTATTCAAGTCTCGGTCGACAACGATTTTCGAGTCCTTGTTGGTAAAGGTCATCTCAACCTTCTCGGCAAAGTGAGCTCTTACTAGGTTACTAGGCTCGGCACATTGAAAGCCGAGTTTTATGATTGGATATTCTCAAGTACATTTTAGAGTTCGACATTCTAACAGCCGAACCACATTTACAATCAAGACATTTATCTCTTTCGAGTATTTGTGTTCGTACAATTTGGTACCATTTCAGTATACTTACACTCTCACGAATATAATTACCGAGACTAAGGCCAACAATTTGTGAACTTCGAAGAACTAGTAGCCTTGTCTTCAGGCTCTAGAACCCGAAGGCCAAGACGTGTTCCTTCCTCGGCCGCAATCGCAAAATCAAGAAGTCAGCAGCGCGGCCAACGCCACATCAACATATTTTACTTTCCGGCCGAACTCGGTCGACAAGTTGGCACACCCTACACACAACCGAAGAACGTAGTTAGCTTATTAGTTACTCGGCTTGCGCATCACATAGGCTTTGTAGTTTTTAGGGTCCAAAATACCACATCAATTAATAAATTTATCTTATTCGATGTTAGTTGTTGTAATATCATAAATCATAAGATAAATAGTAGGAATGAAGTCCCTTCGACCCCTTTATCACATTTATTTATTTAATAGACCTGTATCGTAGATTACTTATATTTATCGATTTATATAACATCTTCCTTTGTCCATAATCTACCTATGTCAGAGGTAAATTGTTTTTAGCTACCTATATTATAGATCCTTTTGGTTGTAATTTACCTCTTTTAGAATTAGTTAAATTCATTTATATCTTAAATGTATTTGCGTTGGTAAACTTTTCCGTTTTCTTATGATATAGGTATGTTACAACTAGACAGAGTCCGAAAGACAGTTTAAGTTTTTGGACCTGATTTTTTTTTTTTTTTTTTTTTTTTTGTGGTGGGCATGCTGTCATTTTAAAGTACTTAGCTTATTATTATATATATTTTTCTATATCTTTTATTTTTAATAATTTTTAATTTTCATTAAGTCGAAACAAAAAAATTCGAGCTCAGCTTATTAATAAGTTGAGCTTGAGCTTAAAAAAAAAAATTTAAAAAAAAAAAACTATTCAAGCCATATTTGAGCTTACATTTATGAATCTATGATCATTTTTCGAGTTTAAGCCTAGATTCGAATAATTTCTAGGAACCGAGTTTGAGCACTTTATTACTCGGTTCATTTACACCCACCGGTGCAGTCGTAAAGCCTATCCCCTAACCCTACTTCCATTGGGCCTGACTCACTCAAGTATTGGACTTGGGTATAGGCAGAAGTGGCATGCGCTTCCTTTGGTCATGGTTCATGTTGATGGTATCAAAGCCTGCACGCTGATTAATAAAATAATTGTTGTGGACATAGTCCATCTAAATTAGCAGCTTTAAAGACAATACTATGGCTTAATTTTGTGAATCCTCACATTTGGGAGAAGTTTTTCAGTGTGTCGGGAACACGGTCCGATACATCATGTGTCATAATATAAATCGTTGGAGAATTTTATTTTTTATTTTCTAACCAATTGTATTATCACACTTGATGTACCGGATCGTATTTCTAGCTCACTGAAAAATGTCTCCATATATGGTGGTTGCTTCACAAGTATTCATTTCATTGTTACAACCTCATTAGCCGTTCATTTGGAAATCAACAACGGAATACGTGATTAGTAAGTAGCATTAGTGATATTGCTCGGTCATTACAAAATAATAAGAAAGTGAAAATGAACAAGAAAAATAGTATATTATCAATTATCTTTGCAGAACAAGTAATAAGTATAAAGGATTTTCAATAAACATTCTTGATATCTTTCAACTTCATATGACATTCTTGGCTTGGTGTCATTGAAGTTAAGTCCGCTGGGCTGGCCATTTTGATCATGAGCTCTCAAGCGGTTTGGAATTGGAGCCCATGAAATTATCAGAAGCCTGTTCCAACAGAAGATGTCAGAAGATGTGATATTTGCATCCAAAAATTTATCCGAGTTAGCAAGTCGCTATACCTCTGCAGCAACTGGTGTCAAAACTGTGCTGTAAAATATATGTTAGCCGCCTAATGCTCATACACTTAAGTAAGAGGTGAGATCAAGGAAGGTATCTTCACAGCACGGGATTGTGATAGCACCCATGAGATGATCAAACCCCGAATTCTTCTTCAGCTCGACTTAACAAATCTTGGAATGAAGGTTGCTTCAACTATGATAGTGGAATCACATACCGCTTCTTTTGGCACCCCCCAACACAGACAGCAAAATAGCCTTTAGGAACATACAAGGCCTTTGAAGGAACTTGGTTTTTCTTAGCATAAATGATGCCAGACAATCGGAAACCCATTGTTTTGATTTTCTAGATTAGAAAACCAACAATGAAGATTTCAATTTTGTGAAAAGAAAAAAATAGAGCCTAGAGATGCTTGGGAGTTGGGACTTAGAAGACTTTGTGTTGCTTTGCTCCCAAGTCTAATCATATGTATGTATATATAGATAAATTGGTACATGCCAAAAGCCATCTTTTATCTGAAATAATTGGTGATAAGGCACCAGCATGAACCCAATGAAGAGAGACAATAGTTCATTCAAAATCACATTGACTTGTCTATTAAAACTCAAATAACTAAAATCTTTTTGGAAGGATATTACCTAAAAAATCAGAGAGACATACTTGAGACAGTCATCTTATTCTGCAGGTTACCAATTCACCATGCATTTGTTGATGAAGTACTCTTTCATAGCTCCAAGTTTTCTATACCACTTGCTATCTTTGCTTCTTTTATTTCATGTCCAAACTGATAAGACCATCGATGTGTCAGAAAATCTCTAGCAGTTGGCGTGACTGGTCTTCGAGACATTAGCATTGGAAGTTTCACATGGCACCATCTCCCAGTTCATCACCAAGACTCCTTGGTAGTGATTGAGACTTCGCATCTCTGTTGAATCACAAACACCCTAAAATTAAATATGAAATTTGAAACAACTGATTTTGCTCCACATGTTTTGCCTAATTGCTTGATGATATTTGGAAGACAAAACCATGTGATCCCTCATCAGCCCTTGTTCCCGTCTCTACCCCAGCCGGATTGTATTTGTTTGCACCACTTGTTTCTTTTAAGAGAGGAATCGTGCACGAGCTTTTCAACTATATATTCCTTATGACTGCGTTTGTGACCACCAACTACAAGTCTACAAACTCTCTAGTCTAAAAATTCGCAAGTACTAGAGTTTTCCTTGTTCTGCAAGTTCTTTGAGATTTGCTTCAAGTTTTCATCTCGAGATATACAACAATGGGTTTCCATCGTCCGGCTGTAATTCCTGCTTAGAAACTTCTTAGGCGGTCATTTTCAAATACAATCGGAGGAGTTTCAACTAAATTAGCAGATGTCCCAAAAGCAGAGATTTGTCATTCCAGTAACATTCCTTAATGAGCCTGAATTTCAAGACTTGCTAAGTGACGCTGAAGAAGAATTCGGGTTTGATCATCCCTTGGGTGGTGTAATAACCCGTCCCTAATTTTATGATTTTTATAATTTTAAATGTGTAATTTTACAAAAATACCCCTAGAGGTGAGATTTTTTACTTTCGTTGACTTTTGTGTCGTGAAACGTTAGATCTACTATATTAGTGCATTTGTGTAGTACTTGACGTTACGAACGCATAAGCGCAAACAAAATATAATTTGAAGTTATAACAAATATTCTACGAACTTTTAAACGTCAAGGATATTTTGGTAAATTGATAATTAATTGGACATGTGATATGTTTGTCTAACCATTGGGTGAGTGCCATGTGGGCACCCTCAAAATTTCTGGAACTCTCTCTCTCCTCCCTCTTCTCTCCCGTAGCTCCTCTCTTTATAACTCTCTCTAACTGTATCTCTCGGCTCTCCCTTTCTCCCCGTGAAACAAATCACCATCACCACCAAAATTTGAATAACAAACATTATAATCATACTCGTCTCGACCCCATGAACCCAGCTATGAGTTTTATTTCGTACAAATCCCAACAAAAACTGGGTTTCAAAAGCACTGTCTTGAGCAACGAGTTTCTCGATGTTTTTCTTATAGATTTTGGCCAAGGTGAGACCTATAACCCTATATTTGGATTCCTCTCATTGCGTAGATAAATTTTCATGTTTTGGATCGTGTGATTTGGTTAAAAATGGCAAAGTTATGGACGTTTAAAGTTTTTCCAGTTTTCCGAAGAAAAACCCAATTTTCCCACGGACCAGTCGCCTTTCAGGCCATTTTCCAGCCACCATTTGGGTTCCAAACGGTCTAATCTTGTTCTTCACTTCCCTAGCTTCATTTGCGTATATTATGGGTCAAATTTGGTTGAGAAATGAATGACTTATATCGATTCAAAAATTGCCTAGAAATCCGGCCATTTCTACATATTCCAGCAAGGTTCTTAGCTGCCGGCAACGATTCCGGGGACTAGAATATTCTCTTAGGCTAATTTCGATGCTTGAAGTCTATTTTTGACATATGTTTAGTGAAATTTCGAAGTTTTAACTTAGTTGACCGGCTCGGCGTCTTGGTTGACTTTTCGGGTCTACCATTTACTTTTTCACTGACTTTTTACGAAATTTGCCTGGTACCCCTCTTGGGGTATTTCGATGCCTTGATTCTAAATCCGCATTCCATTTTCCCAAATTTAATTGTTTTAGTTGAGTTTTACTAATGGGTCCCAATATTATGCTTAGGTGCAATTACTATCAGAGACTTCGTCTTTCCTAGTTAGAACGGCTGCGACCTATCAAGTATATATGAGTACACCCCTTTCAAATTGCATGATTTTTTTTTTAAATACTAGGCTTGGATTCACAAAGGGTGCGTTTGGTACGTGGGACGGGACGGGACGGAACGGGACGAGGCGTTCCGTCCCGCGTTTGGTGCGCCAAAAATGGGTGGAACGGGCTGTTCCACGGGACAGATTTTGAGTGTTTTTGCGTTCCACCTCCCCCCCTGGAACGGGTTTGTTCCACGTTTGTGGAACGCAATGTTTTACCATTTTAAGACAAATATACCCATGTCTTTTTCAAAAATTACACCTTCGTTCCGTCCCGTCCCGTCCCGTTCTGTCCCGTCGCGTCCCGTTCCGTTCCGTTCCGTCTGCGTACCAAACGCACCCAAAAGGCATGATTTCATGATTTTACGTTTTACGCACTATTTATGATTTATCAAACTTACGTTTTATCAAAAGCCGAGATGTTACAGATTTATAAGTATGATTTGATGATTTCATATTAATGATTTATGATGATTTATGTTGATGCCTGAGATAGAAAGTTTCTATGATTTGGAAAGATTATGTTTATGTTTTCAATGCTTATCTAGTGGGTAATCATACAACACATACATACAACTTAAGTATGTATACATCTATGGCCTTAGGACACAGTTGATGAGTAGTGAGATATTTATGACATACTCTGTCACATCCCGACCTGGGCCCCCACCACATCTTGGGCTCGACTCTGCCGTAACACGATATTGTCCGCTTTGGGCCCTAACCACGCCCTAACAATTTTGTTTATAGGAACTCACACAAGAACTTCCCAGTGTGTCACCCATCATGGGATTGCTCTCGCGCGAACTCGCTTAACTTCGGAGTTCCGATGGAACCCGAAGCTAATGAGCTCGCAAAAGGCCTCGTACTAATGGAAGTGGGCATGTACATATAAGGCATATTGGGTGATGTGGGATCTAACAATTCACCCCCCTTAGGAGACCGATGTCCTAGTCAGCACACTTCCAGCCAGGGATTAGCTCTGATACCAAACTGTCACATCTCGGCCCAGGCCCCCACCAAATCCCTGGCTCAACTCTGCCGTAGCACGATATTGTCCACTTTGGACCCCTACCACGCCCTCATGGTTTTGTTTCTGAGAACTCACACGAGAACTTCACAGTGGGTTACCCATCATGGGATTGCTCTCGCGCGAACTCACTTAACTTCGAAGTTCCGATGGAACCCGAAGCCAGTAAGCTCCCAAAAGGCCTCGTGCTAATGGATGTGAGTATGTACATATAAGACATAGAGGATCCACTCCCCTGGGCGATGTGGGATCTAACATACTCCCAGCTTCACTGACAAAAACCAATGTCGGACAGCTTCACTAGCCACGGTTAGTGTCATTGTGTTATGTTATATTTCTTTTCTAGCGTAACCCAAAGCGTACAACTTCACCTTCGGGTGATGAGAACTACCATATTTCTTCATTGGCATTACCCAGTGTCGTACAGCTTCACCTTCAGGCAACTATGATACCCCTAATTAAGTACATCATTGATTTGATTTACAAGATTCTTTGGATTTGCCTTCGGGCACTTCGTTATCACTTTTAGAGATGATTTTATTGTTTTACAAACGTTTTCATGGCATGCTAGAGTTTCGAGAAAAACCTATTACGTAATATTATATGTGTTTTCGAAATAGGGGGTTAGTATGTTAAAAAAGAAAACGGTTTTCGTATTAGTATTATTATTATAAACTTTGGTCCATTCACCCTTTGTTTTGCACCCCCTTAAGGATTTAGAATCGAAGTGTACGATCCCGGCATCAGGGCACTCCCACATCGTATCTTCGAGTCTTCTCTTAGTAGGACCCACTCCTTTGCTCGTACCATTTTATATTAATTCTTTCACAGTATTCTTGATTATTTGTATACTCTGAACACGTTTCCGCATTTGTTTATTTCATTATATTTTAAATTTACATATTTTATTTATGTTCGTTCTATCTTTCTAACTTGCATGCACGTTAAAATGGCTTCGTTACCCTCGAGTGTCGGCTAGCATGTGTCCATCCTTGTATTTGAAAAAGCTGTATATTACATGAATTAATTGGGTCCAACAATTCCCTGCCGAGAAGATGCCTTCCTTGATCTCATTTCTCGCTTGAATGCATTGTGAGATGGCATAGCGGAAAATCTGTATATTACATGAATTAACTAGTTCCAACAATTCTGTAGAGTAGACAATTGCAACATTCTGTAATTGTTTTTTCCTTGGGGAGTGAATCAAATGTCTCCCAGGATTATGAAGAAATCTAGCTACTTTTAATTAGATACTCCTAGTTTTCTTACAGCATAAAATACATGTTGCCTACTTTATTTTGCGGATCTTCGTTCGTTTATCAATCCTACAAATTTAAACGGTTCTATTTTCACTTACTGGTTTACAATAATTTTACATAACTATTTGTCGCTTACGAGCATCAAAATATTATGCTCGTGTGATGATCGTCTGATTTAACACTAGTGGTTCGCATGGATGGCACCGTCCAGTATCCTCTTCCTCAAGCTCTTTTAGCATGTATCAGAAGAGAATGCTTTTGTTTTTTGTTTGAGTTAAGTTATCTATTCATCTCTCAAGGAGGGATTTATAAGAAGTTACAATCCTATATCTAAGGAAAGAAATAATTTACATAAAAACATAATAAACTAAGAATCCTAAGATTGTAGGAATATATACACAAAAGTCAACACTCCCCCTCAAGTTGGTGCATATATATCACACATGCCCAACTTGTGTAAGAAACTTGAAAACTTATGACTTGAAACAGCATTTGTGAGGATATCTGCCAACTGATCGTCTATTCTTATTGTCGGTACCTCAATTATCTTCCCTTCCAATTTTTCTTTGATAAAGAATCGGTCAACTTCAACATGCTTTGTTCTATCATGTTGTACCGGGTTATGTGCAATGTCACGGGCAACTTTATTATCACAAAATAATTTCATGGGTTGAGCATGTTCTATACCCATATCCCTTAGCAAAATCTTAAGCCACAAAATTTCACAAATCCCCAAGGCCAGACCTCTGTATTCAGCTTCTGCACTGGAACAAGCAACCACATTTTGTTTCTTACTTCTCCATGTAACAAAGTTACCCCCAACGAATGTAAAGTAACCTGATGTTGAGCGTCTATCATCCACTGAACTTGCCCAATCTGTATCAGT